AATAAAGAGGGTGCTTAGATAATCCAGCTTACTATGTCTATTGTGATGTTTCTTTTCGATTGTAGCATGCTCTAAGGGACCTCAGGATGGATGCGTACCTTACAAGACCCATGCTGTAGCGCACTTGCGGAGAATAAAAACCTTTTCTATATCAATAGTCGATTCCAGTGTTACCCTAATAATTCTGGGTTCGCCATAGTGTGCAGAGTTCTGGCAACGAGTAGCTCTCACTAGGCTTGTGGGTTTTGCTTCTACGTTCGTTAAAATGCACAATGAGTTCACTGGTCGTGCTCGTCACAGTACTTACCTCGCAATGTGATGGCGGTAGATTCGGGGGCATTGGTACACACGACATTGAGGGAGTATTTATTTGAGCCCATATTTGTTGAACTGCACGGTCGGGTGATCGTTAGGCCTGGCTTTATGCCAAGTGATGATGGTCCACTGTTTGTCGCTCTATTGGCGTTAGCGGTGTTTGCAACAGAAGAGACACTAAAGATAGCATCGAGAGGGACTTTTGTAGCGATCTCTGCATAGGTGTTTGGAGTCTCAGGGGATTTGGACTCTACCAGACCCTTGGGTTGCAGATGCAGTAGGCTCGGGTTCGGCAGTGCTATCCTTTTTAATGATACAAGTGGTCAAGACCGGCTGAATTGGATCGATCACGCGTTTCACGTGGTGCATGATTTTCGGGATCCTGAGTACCGCTTGTCTATTACAGCTACGGTCTGTTTTCGCCGGGCGTTCTACCAAAATTGAAGAAGATAACGGCAAAGGGGACCTTGCCCATCGTGATTTAAGCGAAGCAAATTTTGCACCAATGTTTTTCTTTGTAGCCACTGTGTTAGCGTTGTGCATACTCGCTTCCAATGATATAATCTTAGCGATGGTTCGTTGTTCAACTTCTGTTAACCGCTCGTACTTTTGGGCCAGGAGAAGTAAATATTTGACTAGTGGGATAGTCAAACACGCAGTACGAAACCAGATATCGTATTAGGAGCTGTTCCGAGCGCTCATATGTTATTGGGAACGATTCACACATATTGGGTGGTACCACCTTAAACAACGTGTGCAGGTTAAACCGGATGTGACTAATTGGTTACATTCAGCGGATCCACTTTTACCCATCGACGGGAGCCCTTTTGGTTTCGCATCTACTTACTTTCTGCTACTTGGCATAGTGTGGTTAATTTACACAGTAGGCTGGTTGACGTTGCGTACTTTTCCGGCTGGCCGGTTGCGTACCCAAGCCAGACAGGTGGATGCGGCCACTTTGTTTCTTGGTCACACGCTGCCCTGTGGAATAAGAGAGAACGTGATAAAACCAACCTGCCCAGACTTGAAACGGATGCATGCTGGTTTCAGTTCATACGCCGATTCAAACACCGCACTGTCAGGTGACTGCCCGTGTGAGTTTTGATTCTGTTTGCTGCCCGGAGCGCTGTTCGCGATAGAGTGCGGTTGAGATGAGTGCAGGTTAGATCGGTCGCCGTTAACGGATAAACTTGGTCAGCCGATGCGGACGGCTAGCTGAGAAAGCTCCAAAACCGGTAAGGCAATTTAGGTGGTAAGGCGATGGAATAGTTCCTAGGCTTGGCGATCCACTGGATAGAGCTGGTAATTCCTCGTCGGATGAGTGAAACTTGGGTGATGTGTGATCAACTGCGTAGTGAAAACCACACTACAAGGCGGATCAAAGGATGAGTGAAAAATATTTGCACAGTTTTCACAAAAGCTGTTAGATATCCTTCCAATTTCTTTCCGGAGACGGAAAGGGCACACAAAACGGAATTGATTAGTATATGGTAATTCAAACTCCCATAAGATTGCACCGAGAAGACGTACAAATCGTACACATTGTCGGAGCTTCGGTTCTGTGTTTACGTAACAGCATCGGCTAAACTTCTACACTAGGTCTTGCCATCGGATGAGCAACTGCAAAAGAGTTTAAGAAAACGGTTGGCAGATAAGGAACGGTATTACGAAGGCGGTACCCCCGCTCTAGCTGAGCTATCAATAAAGGTAGTAGTGTGGAGTCAGCCATTACTGCGTGTCTCGAGCGATGTGAGTAACGGATAGTGTCTCTAAAGGTTAGAGAAAGATCTCACGAAGACAGTTCTTGAGGGAAGCTAATCAAACATAACCGAGTGCAGCTTAGACGGCACCGGGAAAGAGTAGTTGAAGCTGAAGCAAGGCACGCAATGGATTACGGTAATGTCATAACGACAGAAGCAGGAAAGACCACTTGGAACGAAGGAGCGTACAGAGTCTTCCTTGACACTGATAGGGCTGCTCACGAAAATGGGAAGAATACGATGGAAGTATGCAATTAGTGGAACGAGACGGATTCACACGTGGAAGAAAGCGGATAGATTGCCGCAAGCGAACGAAGTAGATGATTGGACGCCTACGCATTTCCGCCTGTAAGCTAAATGGCTACATCTTAGCTGCGCTAGAGCGCGTTCGTTTGACTGAAGCGAAGGAAGAATCTCACGAATACAGAAGGGTCGTTAGTTATGGAAGAGAGCAACACATTCACATCTAAGTTTTGTACATGGTTGATATGCTATCACTTCTGCTGAGGTGGGTTTGTCGAATAAACCGTCTTTCCCTGAAGGACCGAGTTTAGTGACACACCTACAACGTAATGGTAGAAGTATAACTGCAAAACCCACAAGCGCAGCAAGAAGTTATGAACATTAGCATATCCAAAATTATCAAACATCAGTTAAAGTAGGTGGCTAAATCCTATTCGTAAACCGATCTCCTTGTCGTTGTGCTGAATAAAAAGCGTTCTCGTCAGCAATACCGATGCTGAAATATCTGGCGCTTTAAGGCGGAGGTTGCTGTTTTTGCTGGCTAAGAAGATGAGGTGTATGCCACTGACTATTGTAGTCGGATGACCAACACACTTTTGTCCTTTAGCGTGAAGCTCAAGTGTGTACTGCGAAAATCTAGCATTTTGATGGCGCGAAATGCAAGTACAAGCGCGGGAAAACGAGCACCGAGTATCATGCTTTAATGGCCCTCTAGAGTCCTGTGTTCTATCGCTGAATTGTGTTGGCGGTGGGAAAACGTTGGAACAGAGGACTTACAATCGGCTGGTTGGTGCGGTTAGTTACCAAATAGTGGAGACATCTGCCGATTTGCTAGGGCACTCAGCGTTCAGCATCTTACTGGTACTTAAACAATTAGGGAAATTGTAATCAGAGTGGGTAGAAGTTTACATCTTGACCAGTTGGATACTATCCACTGTGATTCCTGAAGTCGTCCTATATATATGTACTGACAAAAGCGCTTGAGTTGATAAGAGAGTAGACTCAACGGACAGCATGCCTGCCAGAACAACTGTGTTCCGTAATGTAACATTATTTTCCGATTGTATGAAACATCACATTAAAGTATCATCTTCCTTGACTTGGACTGAACCGGAGAGTTTGGTTACTTCGTGTTGTTTCTTATGATGCCTTCAGTAACAGTGGCTCTAGAATGTAATATAATATCGAAGCGTCTGCATGTGACACTTCCATCCCAACGAATGCAATGTCGATGAAGCGTCTTCTAATCTCGGTACACAAGGCACCCAAAATCTCTTAGTGGAGTAGCAATAAAGAAAACAAATGACATTTACATGGTGCTTGCAATATGAAAAGTAAGGTCGATGCGAAACAAGTGAAGAGATAGTGGAAGTTGTCTCTTCCGTTCCACGCTGATCGACAGTGCGTAGTCCCGCGCCCTGATGCTGACTCAGGCAATGGCCTCACATAGGTGGGTCAGGAGTCCTTGTTCTGGTCCCCTCGTATCAGGCTATGTGTGACAAGATGATGCACACAGGACAGTGAAAGTTGGACAGTATCGTGTCGCACGAGTCAACTAATCCCGTGCGCAGGTGTAAGTTTTTCAATGATCAATACTTCACCAGTTTTCATTTGACAACATGATACCGGTATGAATCTGAGCAGCGAGAGATGAAAGATGTTTCCGCCCATGGAAATCGGGTGATGCCAGCCCGAAAGCACTACAACCCAGGACACCACACAACACATCCCGACCTTATTTGATCTGGACAAGTGGAGATTCAGGCGTCGAACCCAGGACGATTGGGATGGGATTGGGATAAATCACGACGGTCAACTTTTGGCATTATGGTTACAGATTGCTTGGAGGGCAATCTAAATGTGGACCGTGAATCGCGTTGTAGTGAGCCCTGGTCAATTCGATCAATAAGACCGTAACTCAAACAGGTGAAAATTGTTTCCACCCAATTTAGTAAGTTCCCAAATGTAGGAAAATTCACCATGTTCGCTGCTTAAGCGATTGGCCTGAAACAGTCCATCTGGGGTGCGACATCGTACCATAGTAAACTAGTTCAGAGTAACTCTGATTAGTGACATGTGCCAGGTTTAACACGTGCAGTTCGCCCGCTACAACGCTACACAAGAGACGCCATATTCCTTAGATGGAATCGCTGAAGATTAGAATTATGCCATTGGGCAACTTTACAACCCTGGTAAAGAGTGTGTTGGAGGACGCCCATGCGATTGGGTACCGCACGACAGTATGTCGTCAAAACGCAACACAACTGTGCTTCCTGGCTGTTGCTCATCAAGCTCGACGATTCGCACAACTTTTCGGTTCAAGTCGTTGCTTGCCTCTCCTATTGGAAATGGCCTAGTGGGATTTTGAATCTGTGCTCACACTCTTTGGGTGGTTATTTTAACCTATTCAGTCTTCCGCAGAGGGGTTAAATAAACATGCAATGAGCTCCCTGAGTAACGTAAAAGCGTTGAATGGTTTAGAATGTTATAAAACAACTGCAAACAGCTCGAAACCCCGCTATAGCAGGGTGAGTATTAGTAAGTGGCAGCAATTAAAGCGGAAATATGACGTAATATCATGGTAGTTGAGATCGAAGCTATCGCACTTTTTCGTGATGGCGTGGTATAACAGCATCAGTTGAAAAGACAGCCACACAGCCTTTAGGAAAGATAAACACTCACATAAATTTGTTCCATCCATGACCGCACGTTTCGGAAGGTGCTCGGTGCGGTAACATCGTAGACAACTATGACCCCATCAACCTTTCGAAAATAAGTCCGGACAATACTGCGGTATCTGAAGTGTTGGCAAAGGAAAGAAATTGATCGGATGATGGTGCACACTTGAAGGAGACTACAACGTTCTATGAGAGTAACTGAGCCGATTGCGTCGAGCAGAAAGCAAAGGAATGCGCTGAGTTTCGCAGTATACAAGAAGCGGATTATGCGTGAGAAAATTAGTGTCAATTTGTGCCAGTGGAATCCGCAGTGGATTGCCACATATTCCGCGCTTGTTTGGGTGCGAGAATATTGGCGCTGGGTCTGATGGCAGAAAAAAGGTCATAGCGTGCTCACTTAAAGTAATTATGTATGCCTTTGTTCCCGCTCACAAAATTGTATGTCTGATACCCTTAAGGTTCTAGTTAACGGGTATTTTGTATCCATGTGAATAAACGTTCCCTAGTAACATTGCAAAGTTGGGTAAAGGTATACAGGAAGAACTTCTGGAATATACTCTTACCTGGCATATACACGGAACTAGATTATAACCATATATGTCATTGCTGACAGCTCTTAAGTGGTAGGGCTGCGAATGAAAGTGGTAAAGAGGCAGTATTATGTGTATATCTGTGAGGTCACCTAACTGAGAACAGAAGTAGCCGCACAAAATGCAACTCAAAAAATGAACTGGTTTGCTAAATTGGCTTGAAGATTAGTGCCTGGGCCAACGAGCACCCAAAGAGCATCTTTTACGCACCAGTCGGGATGGTGTAGTTCCTTTGTGATGGTCATAGAGACTGTAAAACGCAAGAAGTTTGACGTCATAAGTAGGCCAAACCGTTAGACGTGCACGTCGTAAGTGGTCGTAAAGTAGCCTTCACTTGAAGCTGGTTGCAGTTAATCGTCAGATCGGTGAATACCCAGAACCACAATCCACTGAGCTTAAGGTGCGCACATGCAGGCTAGGGGTGAGTACCAAATAACTAAATAAATAAACGTCTTATTCCTCGACGGTGTTCTGGTCATTTTTGACTCTAGTCTAGTGCATCAAAATCCCGTGGTTTGGTATCCCAATTGCTCCCACACTGAAATACTCCAAGTAAGCAAACAATTTATTCAGTCAGAACTGTTGCGACTCTGAGACCAAGAAATAGGCAAACGTCGGCTTGCTTTCAGATTCTGAAGGTTGGTGAACGGAATGGTCACCACACATCATACTGCTTGGAGGACGCTTGAGAGCTTACTTTTCCTGTCCAGCCGTATCCCACAATTGAATGGAGTACACTTTTTGGTCGACCCGAAGGTTACGCGTTCTGAAATCCACACCTACAGACAAAGATATGATAAAACGGGGTATAAGACGGTTCAAAACATTGGATAGCACCAAAGAAAGGCTCTGCAAAGCCATGATCGTCTATGTCCTAATGGCGGAATATTGTTAGTTTGTTCCGAATGAGTTGTGGACGATATACGCTGCACCTATTGCTGGGGATGTCAGCTAGTGGTTCACTACCCGACTAGATTTCCATCCAAAATATGGTATACCAAAGAGGGACGTTAAGTGCATTTGCGTGGACCATTTAGGCGGGTCTACTGCATGTATTTCACAAAATAAGTATCCATGCAACACACTGGGAGCTGAAGAGAAGTGCGGAGCGAAATACGTTTCCGCAGAAGCGGGAAAGCTGGTAATACAAACGGAATCAACCGGGAGGTTGGCATCCACTCACCTACTGTGGCTCGCAGTCGGGGATAAAATACACCATCACAAAATTGGTGCATGAAACTGGACTTTCCAACCCCAGTGTCACCGACCAGAATTACTTTGAACATCCGTTCCGGTGGTTGTGGTGTCTGAGTAAAAAAAAACAAACGCAGACACGGGTAAAGAGATACAGTAAATGTTGGTACAGTAAATGCTCTTCGTAGAAGAAAGAGCATTCTAAACACAAAGTCGCAACTGCCAAGGATGGCTATCTGGTAAAATTAAAATGAGAACAAAGACTAGTGCGCAGATGCCTCAATATGGAAATGGCGACCGGCTAAATTTAAGATGTTTCTGCTGCTGTGACTTGCTCCGAGGCTATCGAAGCTTCTGTTGCTTTCCAGTATAACAGCCAGACTTGAATGGTCATGTTATCGGGATTAAATTCAGTGTGTTGGTACATCTGAATAAACCGCCCTTCGGAACGTTTAGTATATCCCACCAAGTTTTTGACCAAGAATTTAGCTAAGTTCTCTGAAATCGAATGCCTGCAATTCAACATGCACCCATATACTATTAAACCCTTGAGTTGCCACTTCATTAGGCAAGATTAACAAATCTAAGTTGTGATCAGACTGACAGCCACGGCTTAGGACCTTTAACACCAGGTGGATTGATATCACATCAATCGTATTGATAACGACTATCTAAGGCAGCACATATTCCGGGTTGAGCAAAACTAACAGATCTCAAAATTCATTGCCATTATACGATTCAGTAAACCGGCAGTTAAAACGTACAACAGGATTGAGCTCCATCGAACCGAGGCTTTGAGCACCGGATCGCAGAGAAGAGGAATTTCGGGGACTTTGGAAGTGAGTGCACATCTTGGTTTCATCCAGGTGGTCCAGTGTATTACTTCAAAACCAAAAAAGACATAAAAAGGTAGAGCGACGGTTGAGAAACTGTAATCAAGTGTATTATCGCAAACAGGGTTAGAGTATTACTATTTCACAAGGGCATATTGTAGCGTAAAATTTAACGTACTTGGCATTGGAGCGAGGTAAAGGCACCTCCGTCGGTACCTTGCAGCCAAAACTTATTGTGTTAGATTGGTTACCGATGGAGCTCTTCCAGAAAATCTCATGTAATCTAACGACGAAACATAACTTCGCAAGGTGTGGAGAGGTGGTCAAAGGTGTGTCGGGAGGGAAATGCATATCTAAGGCGGAGCAGATGATATGCTACGGTGGTAGCCGTCGGCATACGGAGTTCTACGGCGCCTTTCAGACACTGTACTACCCTAGGGCGAACCCATTGTGGACGCCAGCGGATAACACATACGAACCGCGGATGCATGCTATCGGGCAACTTTTCAACCCTGATAAAGAGTGTGATAGGAGACGCCCATGCGATTGGGTACCGCACGACAGTATGTCGTCAAAGCGCAACACAACTGTGCTTCCTGGCTGTTGCTCATTAAGCTCAATGATTCGCACAACTTTTCGGTTCAAGTCGTTGGTTGCCTCTCCTATTGGGAAAGGCCTGGTGGGATTTTGAATTTGTGCTCATACTCTTTGGGTGGTTATTGCAAACTATTCAGTCTTCCGCGTAGGGGTTAAATAAACATGCAATGAGCTCTTTGAGTAACGTGAAATCGTTGAATGGTTTAGAATGTTGTAAACCACCTCAATGGATGCAAACGAACTACAGTTCGGGTAGTATGACAGCACCACGTTAGTCGAAGAAAATGCCACATTCATGCTGCCAGCAATACTATAAAAATGGCATCCGACAAGGGATGACTGTTGCTCCACACTCGGCTATCCGGTCATGTCCTCCAAATGCATGCAATCAGCATATGTTCGAAGCATGTGCTTCGTGCTCAACTGAAGGCAGACACAATTAAGGAACGAAAACAAATGCTTCGAGATCAGGAAACGGCCAAACGTCATGAGGGAATGACCGTTTTCGCCTCGTACAACTGTGTCCTTGTAGCAGGCGTAACACCGTTCAGGTGAACGAATACAAGTTAGGTCATTAGGAGCGGAAATACTTCGCACACAATCGATACATGCAGGCGGTTAACTGGCTGATATTGTCGTCCACATGGTATTATGATATAAGCGGTCATGCGTACCTCAGCTGAATCGAATTAGCGTTAGTTTCGCGAAGAGATGCCGGGCACATTGAATTGGCTGAGTAAACACTCTCGAGATAGGATATGTTCCGACTTCGTTTGCGAGTTAAAGGTGCTTACACATCAGACCAGGCCATGGTTAGATGGATGAACGTGAGTCACTGTGTCTGATGCTTCTCCCCGGGTGGCAGACCAGTGTTGGCTGTGTACAGTGTGAACGCCGACGCCATATCTACTCTACAGAAGTGGGTGATCGTCTCTACTATAGTCTCCATGACCGGATTACGGGTGAGGATGCGGTGCACAGTCTCCATAGTTTTGATGGGTTCTAAAAATGCATTGCACTTTACAAGGCTCTACTGTGTTCACTTGGGTTTCACCCCGGTCCTGCATGACTCAGAAGGATGTGCGCATGACAGTTGTCGGCCTTGAGCGAGGTTAACATCGTTAGATGCTGTTTCGCGGAGTTCCCCACCCAGACAGACAGACATTCAGGAAGTATCCGCCAACTAATGACGATTCCCATCGTCATACCGTGTGGTCTTATTGCTTGGTTCGATGTGTGTGATGAGTAGTGGTAGTTGGCAGTGTATTACATAAATCCGAAAAACCCTTGGTAAGCCGAGGAGCTGGTACATGTCACGTTGGATGAAAGCGCATTGAAGCCGGCTGTTGCAGTAACGGTTGACGAATTCTGTGATGATTCCAACTGATTGCACAATCGTGCGAATGGGCTGGGAGTCGCAGCTACGGTGGTTGTCACATCCTTTGCCCGGTCGATGTGTCGGTATCACGCATGCGCGAACACTGTGGAGGAGCCAATCGACTAAAACAGCTGGTTAGACCACTTTTGCATCCATTTTATCTGGTCTCCAACGATGGTGACAAACTAAACAGTCTCCCCCTGTTAGATGTGAAGGGCCAGCCACGAGACACAATGCACGTTTTTACTTTGTGGCTAGATATAAACAAATTATGTTCATGTGAGACAAGGGCCTAAGATGGAGACTGTTAGGTCTTCCGGAGCGATAAGCGTATAAGCTTTCGCGCGATATATAACAAGTTGATAAAAATCGATATGCTCGGGAAACGGCGTCTGTTTTACTCCTAAAATGTCAAGAATCAACTCGATTATTTGAGACTGATGTTGTAAAAGGTGAACGAATGAAGCCGGTCGGCAATAACAATTGTCGAAGCAATCCAATAATTGCTATGTAGTCGATGCGAGCTTGCTCCCACGTGGCAGCTTTATCGTCGATTCAACTTCATACAAAGGTCAACTAATCATTCTTTAACATGTATATCAGATGAGGTCGCAAATTTCATCAAAAAATTTCTAGTCTAGATGGGCGATAATGTAGCGTGCTGCCATTGGCTTGGTACCGTCGGTTCTCGGATGGCAAGAAAGATTCAAAGCCGTATGGACAACATCTCATTTCATTTGATTTCTTGGCTTTGGTTGCAGCTTCTCGGCTCCCTACTTTGGGCCCGAAAGACGCTGCACACGTTTGGCTGGATACACTTGTTGATATGGCTAGGAGCCAACTTCAGTGGCGCTTGTGTTGTACGCCTCTTTGTCCCTCATCCCCCCCTGCTTAGTCTCCTTCTCCAAACACCATCTCATTTCGTACGCATAAGATAATAGATATTTTGCGGCAGATTAGCCGACTGTTAAATCTCGATGCAGATCCGTTACTGGGGGCTCGTCCGGCGTACCTCAGTTGCAAGTTTATTTTTCTCATATATTGTGGCACAACAGTTGATTTGTTTCCCATCTCTAGCAAAGGTGTATAATGAGGATACATTTCATTGTCCATTCTGGATTTTAATGGTGCAAGGAGCAGTAGGTCTTATTTGTAATCTAATCTCGTGAGCACCAGCCACCATGAACTACAGTCAACCAACTTGATCGTATCGGCAATAAATAAGAGGGTGGATAAGCTTGCATCTGTTGCATGTGGGTGAGAAAGCAAATGAACTGTGAACCATAGTTTATTAGTTGGCATGTATACGGCCGTACACGGATCATTGTCCCATTCTCGAGGAGTATTCCGTTCTAAATGTAGCAGCTGACAACATTTAGCCGCGCGTTGCACAAATAAGCGTCAGTCATCATCACTAACAATTAACACACTGTTCAATGGTGTTCAGTAGTGTGTGTGTGATGGGATAAAATACAATAAGTCTATCAAACGCACAAGATGGCAAATGCAAATACAAATCAAGATGTTCCTGCGTGGAGCATAAGATATCACTATTTTGTGGCGTTTCTCACTTAGATGAAAATCTAATAGTCTTTCAAATGTCTTGATGTTTGGTGCGTTCACCACGTGCTGGTAATGTATTCCAGTGTGAACAGATCCTAAGAGAACGAAAACACTTTCTACAATCCAAACGGGAGTGTTTATTTACTAGTTTCCAGAATGTGTTTTCGGCACTGTTTGTACGGGGACAGGGTCCGCAGTTGTTTACATGGGTAATCGCCTTCTGTCCGTATTCGAAATGTGCGAATGAGATTTTCCCGAAATTTACTGTATAGTGGCCTACTGAAGCATTGAGCCGCACACTCACACCCATTGAGCCCATCATGAGAATGTTGAGAAACGATTCCCGATATCTAGAGAGAGTAGACGTTGGTAGAACAGCTGATCACCTGCTTCAACAGAGTGTCATCTCTCAACAAAACGTACCATACAATCAGGGCGGTTCGTAAGTGCTGCTATGAGCGCTGCTCCGTGCCCATCTATCGTTTCCTCACCGACTGCGCCAATGTGTTACTCGCATGATCACTCACTTTCCTAGTTCGCGGTGTGTGCTTATAATTAGTACATTTTTCAGCTTGTAGTCCACCAGCACCCATCGGATTGTGTACAACAGGTGTGATCGATTAAGCAAACAAGTTACTTGAAGCAAATACATTGTAACAACCGATCATTCAAAGGACCGCTAGAGTCACACACTTACAAATGCAATCGTTTCTCTTGTTCCGCTAACTGTTCTTTCAGGGATGCCAACTCCAGCTCTGTACTCTCAAGTTTGGCCATCACCTCTAGTAGGGGTAGATCAGGTACAAGATGGCTGGACAAGCGAGTCAACGCCCTCTGTCTATACGAAGGGGACATCACCAGAAGATTAAGGTCTGTGGTTACTCGATCCATGGTCGTGGAATCCGGAACATCAGAGCCATCGACATCACTGCCTCCCATGTGCTGCAAATTCTATCGTGACAAATATGAGAACATACCATTCTGAGGCTCCTTATTTGTGCCTGGATGTCAGCGATTTCTTCCTCCTTCTTCTTTATTTTCATGTCGTATTCATCCCGCAGTCGATCGTTAATCTACGCCGGATAAAAGATTTGCATATCCTATGAATAACGGCTTTGGTGGTTTCATTTTCGAGATGAATGCTATTTATCGACTATCAAACCAATGACATTGTGTCAAATTTATTGCTACTAAGCCATGCAGCGCCATTTTGGGAAGTGGAAATGAGGATACTTTTGCCACTCGAGCCTAATTTACTAGAGATCTTCATCGATATCCTATTTTATCCCAGGTAGAAGCTACAATAGTACCAAGTGCCCGAGTAACTGCTTAAGTTTGTGACAGTGGATTTGCTGATTTGAACCCTTAGTAAGTAAGATTGACTCAGGTGTCTTGAGAGTTATGTCTGCAATCTTCCCGAACTCGTGCCCTTTCGAATATGAAGTTGATGATCCAAAATACCGTGGTTGATTGGAACGTTGAGTAGATGCGTGAACTCCCTGTTCGAACCAAAGGATAATAAGCGGTGAAGCTGTACATTAACTCCAATGCAGCAAACTGTCGCTGGTATGCTTGTTCGTTAACCGGAGTGTGACGCAAACTTTGAGTTACTCCGCTGAAATCGTAAATAGGTAATTTTAGGGCATGTAGTTGCGTTTGGAGGCGACAATGAAGTGCCGTTGAGCTAGTCAGGCATTCGACAGGTTCGTATGCATATTAAAGGAACATTCGCGTCATATAAAGGATCTAGCCGACTGCAGGGTGTCGGGTGCAAGAAGATGATTGAAAAAGAGTGACAAATTCACTGTCGAGCGTTGCTCGCTCCTGATTTCCTGTAATTTTCAGGTAGGGATAATTGGGGTAGGACAAGAAGACAAGGCGTAATTATCGGAAAACTCATTTACACCAACATTAGCAATCCCCACGGCTGACTGAACTGTCGGGGATGGTCAACGCAAATACGGAGCCAAGAAGCAGACTGAGGTTCGCTTCAATGCGAATCACGATCCCAGGCGGAACATTAGGGTTGCCATTCCTCCCCACAACGGGTTTGCCAAAACAGGCAGTAAGGCAATCAAAGTGGCGCAACCAAAAGAACATTAGGCGATAAGGGTTAAGCTAAGATGAGTCAGTTTAAGTCCCGTTTGGGGTTCGTCGGTACTGCACTCATCTTGTCGACAGAACCGCTTTAGCTTATTTAACTGGGAACTGAGTGTTGTAAACAGGTCACATGACAATTGCCGGTAAAATCAAATCATTCAATCGCCAACAAATAGTATATTTGAATCATAATTTGGGTGTCGCTGATTACTCCTCGTTCGAGCTCCGTAACCAGTATAGCAACACCGTCAGTCAGAATAAAAAGTCAACCTCTAATTAATCAACTGACAGTGCCGCTTATTGAGTTTTCCGTCAAATGGCTTATGTTGTTTAGGTAGCGCATTCTGACGCTGCAGTTAGGTGAGCGGAGAATTTCGATGATAAATGATTCATCACGTCTGTTTGGCATGATAGCGCCACCCACTGAAAGAGAGTGAAAAGTTGCAAACAATGAGTTAAACAATGACAACCGCGCAGGAGAGTGGGTTCTGCTAACTCGTTTTCTGCCGCAGCAAGCAAGTACCAACGCCTGACTAGGCTTTCGGAATGTATGACAGCCACCTGACCGCCTAACAAAAGGCAGCTTCAGATAGCGTGGATTGCGACAATTTTGGTGAATAATAAGCAAGCGTGCTACGTGAAAAACAGACAGAGAATTTGTGAACAACCCCGATGTCCTAATGCGTAGCAAATGGCTGATTGAAGTAGGGAAACAAAAGCTTACTTCCCTCTTTGCCCGTTCTTCTACCCGTTGGATTTGAAGTTCTAATTCATTCTCCATGCGCGCCAGATCCTTTCTTCTTGCTTCCTTTTCTCTGAAATGCAAGCAAGGTCAAACAAGCTGAATGGTTGGATGTCAGTTAGCTGAACCAGCAGAGCAGGAAAGAATTTTCAATGACGCCTCAAAAGTGGGCTTATTACGCGCGACACTTGTGGAAGCAAATTGTGAAGTAAAAATGTTACATTGTCATCAACTGACCACAATGTTAAGCGTGCTAAAATGGCAAGAACTTTAACGTGGTGAATGCAGCAGGGTAGAAAGAAATTTCATGTTAACGAGCTAGTTGATAGGTCGGTTGTAGCATTGTTAACAGAAGCGCTCTCGCACTGCTTATACTTTGCGGATGAAGCAGTCGGAATTCCCCTCTTAGCAAGCGCTCAAAAGTATTAGATATTGAATCTTGAGAAATCGATACCAGTGGGGACTTAATACAGGGATGTGAATAGATCGGAAGTGGAATTTGATCAGTAAGCAACTTGGCACATGGGCTGTCACGTCGGTTCTGTCCTCAAATTCCTCGCGCACATCGAATGACCGCCCGTCGCTCTGCAAGGGCACAGATGCGAATACGTGCGAAATGGTGTCCTTGTGACCAGCTTTCACCGTGGGAGCACACAATCTCAGCAGAGATAGCCAATTTTCCCAGGGGAACCGAATATGTCACAACGTGAAACCAGTTAAGACAAATTTGTTTGCATGCAGAAAACATGCACTGCTAGCCGCTGATCTAGTTCTCGACGGATGCCGATATCGTGTGCGTGCTCGGTGATCACTAACTCCACATTTCATACACACCGATCAATGCAGTGTGGAGCCAGGACGGGAATGAAAATCACTTGTGTCAATTTGCGGTGTATCCTGCCGCAAAAATGAACCAAAAGCACGGAGGACAGTAGAGTGTAGCTAAGGCGCATATGCAATACCACCAGAAAGATGAGACAAAACTGGGTATGCGGTAAAAATCGATCGGACAATCAACGTAGCCCAACCTAGGCCACAGGACTGGGATGTACGATATTGCCAACGTTTCCCTCTGAGATGGCCCAATCAAATCTCCAAGCCCCGGAACGTGCAATAACCACTGCACTTTCAAGTAATTCGGATCACGCAAGTTTGCATTTTTATTGTTGGGCTTCAGAATATCCGCCATGTGTATCTGGGTTGTAACGCGTAATTTCAGTTGTGGAAACAGAGACTTTGGAGGTAAACACTGTCAATTCGATTACTGGGACTGCATCCGAAGGGAAGAGTATTGGAGCTGCTTTCCCCCATCACAAACACGCGGCTTCCGGTATCGTTTTTCTTTGAACGCTTGCGGTTGAAAATGCCTAAGCCGGAACTGGAGTTCGGCACACAGTGGCTGACTATTAGTGCCATGGTCACTAGACTACTGAGTCGCGAGAGTAGCGCTTGACACATTGCTTAGAAGTTAACTGAGTTTTGGACTACCTGCTAAACGCAGTCACGATTGTGATCACGAGCTGCTCTGAAGCAAACTTCTGGCCGGTTGGTATAAGGGGTCTATCTTTTAATTCAGCTCAGATCTGCTGTAGTCCGTTCCAACGAGACTGGACCTTAACGTGGTGCGACGGTTTGCGTACCCCCTTAACCCATTGTGCTATATTGGGTGATGCCTCCAGGTACCTTGAGAGCTACTCCTACCAGGTTGGTCAATTGTGAGAAGTCAGACAAACTCAGTCTTCTGGTCCTCCATGTGGGGGTTTGAAATGGGATAGCATCCAATTCTGTAAAACTAAATCATTGCCACCTCCCCGCTGCTTTGCGGACAGGCTTTTGAGCCAAACGCTTTGGATGAGGACCCTTACGTTCCTCCTATCTAGGTCTGGGACCCCCTGAGAGTATCTCAGCCCACATACAACCATGACATTTTCTTCAAACATAAACTTTACCCTGCATTGGCCGTCGCGCAGATTATCAAGGGTCACCTTTACTGCTGCATACAGCATGGCGGATAAGCGAAAACATGCTACTGCTGGCGCCTCCCTTCTTTCTTTTCCACCTGTTTCTCTTACTCCCATCCCCACCCCAATTACTAACCTTCCTTCTATAATTCCCAGCTTAATTGACAGTAACCGAAATGCCACTGGAGTAGAACCATCTGCAGCCACCATCCCACAGCACCTACCGGCAAAAGTCCCTTATAAGGCCACACCATCCCGTTTCCATGGCGACGTTCACCGTTCGCACTCTATGACAAACAGGTCAACAGGCTGTACTCGCACACATCTTGGACACACTGGATAGTGATGTGTGTTGTGTGTCCGAACCTAGGACCAACGACTCTAACAGGGTTGTTGAAGTAACTGCACCCAGCTTATCCTGTCGTTATTGGTTGCACGTATCCGGAGACGTCGATGCAGCACTCACGGGTCAAGCTAGTGTAGGTATCATTCTCAGCTCCAAGGCTGAGCCATCGTTGGTTGATTGGATTCCGATGAACAGCCGTTAATATGCAGCCTGTTTGACGGACATCAGCTAAAGGTGAATTCGCGTAGTAGTACAAAACGCTGTTTGTTGGTGATTTCCGTTTATGCTCCACCGACTGCAGTTCTAATGCAGTCAAGGGGGGACACTTTCTACCTACGAACTGAATCGCCCTATACGCAGTGCCTACTTGTTCAGTATTATAGTTCATCATCATCATTACACGTTGGTGGAGGTGGAAAACACCTCAGCTATTGTGCCGCAATACAAAAGGCAAGAAAAGAAAAAACAAACAAACAGTGGCACGCCCGCTGAGTCCCCAGTAACGGATGGACATCGTTCCGGAGAGCTAACAGCTGGCTGCCGTAAAAGAAAGTCATATTATGCCTAACGATTGAGATCGTGATTGGAGGGGGATGCTAAACAGGAGGGGGATGGACAAAGGAACTCACAACACAAACGCCATTGGGGCCGGCTCCTAGCCATATCAGCAAGTGTGTCCAACCAAACGTGTTCACCGTCCTTAGGACCCCAGCCAGGCAGTCGGGATGCACCAACCGACGCCAACTTCGAAGTGAGGGTTTTCATTTCTCTCGACCAAGTCATCACTTGGCCTCCCCTCCTCCTCTTCCAACCGCACCCACAACGCGCAAACAATGCACGTCGTGGGAGTCGGTGTGCTGGCATGCGCAACACGTGGCCCAGCCATCGGAGCCTGGTGCGTGATATAATGGTGCTGAGCGGTTCACTCGCTCTTCCTGCACCAAATACGCGACGCCGAACACGCTCATTGCTCACGCGGTGTTCCCACCAGACATGAGCTAAGCTGCGAAGGCAGCGATGATCGAACGTGACGAGTCTCTTCATGTCTGTCGACCTGATGGGCCAGGTTTCACAGCCATATAGGAGAGTTGAACGGACGGCTGCGTTGTAAACTCTGCCCTTGAGGGCGAGAGTAATGTCGCGTCTGCGCCACAGGTGGCGGAGATTGGCAAAAGCACCTCGAGCTTTTGCTATACGGTTCGTAACCTCATCTTCAATCCCACGGGTGCTAATATAGCTGCCCAGGTACTTGAATTCCTGAACGACTTCTAGCAGATCACCACCAAGCGTTAGCGCAGGGTTGGGTCCCTGCCAATCTTGGAGAAGTACTTTGCATTTCGATGGAGCAAAGCATAGCCCAAAACGATTGACAGCCAGTGCTAATCGGTTCAGTGCTGTTTGGCATGTTTGGGAGCTGTCACAGATTAGGGCAATATCGTCTGCATACTCCAAGTCAAGAAGTCGCTCACCAGGGAGTAGCTCCACACCTTCTAGGTCGTGTCCAGCGAACGCTGTTTCCATGACTTCATCAATAGCGAAGTTGAAGAGGAAAGGTGACAGCGGGCATCCTTGTCTCACACCGCTGGTGATACTGAAGGGTGGCGAGAGTTTGCCATAAACCCTCACCCTGCCCGAACTATGTGCGTACAGCGCTTTGATAATGTTTACATATTTATCAGGCACACCTTTCCTCAACAGACAGTCCCAAAGGGCACATCGATCGACTGAGTCGAAGGCACCTTTTATGTCAAGAAACACGACAACGGTGGGTCGCCAATAAACATGGCGGTGCTCCAACACTTGACGCAATGTGAAGATGTGGTCGATGCAGCCCCGACCTCGACGAAATCCGGCTTGCTCTTCACGAATCTGGCTTTCACGAGTGCCAGTCAGTCTGTGGAGAATGAGAGAGGCAAGCAATTTAGAGGCAATCGAAATCAGACTGATCCCTCTATGATTGCCACATTCTAAACGGGAGCCTCCCTTGAAAATTGGGACAATGACGGAGCGGTTCCAGTCTGTCGGGACTGTCTCCTGCTCCCAAAGTTTTACTAGCAACTCGTGTAGATCATCTACTAGAGCAGGTCCACCGAACTTGAAGAGGGCTGGAGGAATAGTATCTGCTCCTGCGGCCTTATGCAATTTCAACAGCCTGATCTCACGTTCGACTTCTGCGCGTGAGGGCGGATCCAAGGAGACGGCCCAAGGAGAAGGGCGCTCAATGCCCGAAGAAAGCGATAACTCAGGTTGGTTAAATTGCATAGCAAAGTGTTCAGCCCAACGCTCCAAGCGTTTTGACAGGCTGTGGATCATCTGCCCACTCTCGTCGCGTATGGTCTCGCTAACACCAGGTCTCCTGCTGCCTGTTGCCCGTATCAGACGGTATAACTTACGATGATTACCAATGGCAGCGGCTGTTTCCATCTCAGAGGCACGATGAGACCACCAGGTTTCGCGGTCCTTCTTTAGGCTAGCACGTAGTTTCGCCCTGAGATTTTTGCGAGCTTCATTGTATTCGCTTCCAGCCGGAATACGTCGGCGAGCATCCATAAGTTCCAGAGACTGTGTAGAGACCCAATGTCCGGTTTTGCAATTTGTTTTGCCACATGAAGACATGCCTGCTAATAGCAACGCTTGACGAGTATGCGACCAGTGATCTTCAACGGTGTTTAGTGGGCGCTTACTCAGCCCAGATGTCAGCGCATCTTGGTACACATTCAGAACATCTGGCT